GAAAGAGAAGGAAGAATTCTGGAGAGGGGTGGTAGGTGAAGGGGTCTGGGGAGGCAGGGGAGGAAGACTTGGACCATGGGAGCTGCTTTAGGGCCCAGATGACCAAGATCCACACAGTGTGTAAGGGGCGGTGGGGGCGGGCATCCTTGCTGTCTTGGTACCAGCCCCCTGGCGTGGCCTGGGAAGCCACAGCAGGGTCTGGCCATGTCCAGCAGTATATGTGGGCAGAGACGATGAGAGTGATGTCCTTCCCTCAAAGGGCTTATAGGCAGTAGACTTCAGTGATGTGGCCCATGGAGAATAACATGATCAGACTGGCTCCTAAGCACAACCACCATGGTGGGCGGGAGGGTGTCTCTGTGACATAATGAGGGGAGAGAGGGAGGGGACTGTCAGTAGAAGCCAGGTCTGTGTGAGCAGGGGTTAGGCTGGGATTTAGGTGTTAACATGTCTGTGTCTTTGCTAGGACCCACAGGCTCGGGAAGCCTGGGACAGTCTGGGTCTACTGACAATACAGCCTGGTACCAAGTTCAAGCTACAATTAGGGACTGTGGTGACTCACGGATGCTCCTTCCCCACCCTCCTCCAAGGACACTCATTTCTCTGTCTTTTTTTTACTGTTCTATGGCTGGGAGTCTCAAAAATAGAACCCTTGGGTTGAAAGCTTACTTAACCCCTTAGGAATCGGAGGAAAGAATAAGTTTGGTTCAATGGACTGAGAATCTAGAGAGCAGCTGTTAGACCTCCAAGTCGTAGCTTTCTAGGATGTGGATTGAAGGTTGCTGGAGTGCACAGTGGACATCTGGTGACACACCCAGGAAGCAAGGGGCAGTGGGGAGTTGGGGCCCTTCCTGCTGTCTGCAACACATCCAGCGCCCTGTGGCTGGGGATGGCTCCCTTTCCTCCCAGTCTCTGCAGCGAGATAGAATAATGTTGATATTTCTACTCTCCTGCAGGTGGCGCCACAATTTAGGTTTTTAAGCCGCCGACTGCCTGTGGTTTTCATCCAGCGCACTGTGCACTACAAAAACCCAGCCATGGGGCCAGCTCCTGGGGGAAAAAAATTTCTCTGTAGCACCACCGGGCTCTGGTGATTTATTTAACAAGCAAATCTGGCTTTTGTCAACTTAAATAGCAGTTCTGTTCCTAGACTAATAAAATGGTGGTAGCTAAGTGAGGGAAAACTTAAGGATTTCTTCTCTCTCCTATTAAATCTGGCCCTTTTCTTCAGCTGTGGGAGATGAGCCAATACTTTTCTCCTCAAGCCCCTCAATAAACCACAACCAAATTGCCATAAAAAATCACCTCCTTAGGAGATAGGACTTTATGAAGCAGTGTGACATTTCACTTCTCCCTCTTGTGGCCATGGGGCCAGGCAATGACTACCCAGTTCCTCACCAGCCTGGGGTGGAAGGGGTGACTTACAGATCTGATGTCAGCCGGAGAGAAAGCTTGGTTCCCTCTTCACCCCTCACCAGCTGTCAGGGACTTCAGGAGGTGTGAGAGGGAGAAGGGTTTGTAATGAATGCAGAAGCCCATTTTGAACTGTTATTTATAGAGCTTGTCCTTCCCAGCGTGTCTTTTCATAAAGAGGGCTCAAGACAACAGAGGACCTTCCTGCCCCCTTGTATTGTGCCCTATATGTCCTTCTGCAAGGCAATGTTAACTCCTTGGGTGTGTACTGCACTTACTTTAGTGTTTCCAAGTGCACGAATGGATAGCATCTCCTTTGAATGTAACGACCTGCAAGGGTAAGTTGGGCAGGTAAGAATGTGAGATCTCCAAATTATAGAGTCCGTGGGTGGCAGTGCTAGGTCTAGGACCCAGGTCTTCACGCTTCCAGTGTAGAGTCCTACTCATCCCACCCCATCCTACTCTCCAGCCTTGAGAGAGCAAATCCAAGGGGCCATAATGATAATAATAGTAATAATAGTAAAAATCAAGCCCTGCACCATTGCTAATTTGACCCTTCCTGTTCTCCCTTACAATGACATTATAACCACCCCTTTAACATCGCTTCCCCTGTATTACTAACTGGAAGGGGAAGGAGGGAAGGCATTTGGCCACATGGCCCTGTTAACGATGAGAGAATCTGCTGGATCGCCTCACCTGCCCATTGTTGGCTAGCTTTTTGTCACGATCCTTTTCTTTTTCTTTTTTTTTTTTTAAAGATTTTTTATTTATTTATTTGAGACAGAGAGAATGAGATACAGAGAGCATGAGAGGGAGGAGGGTCAGAGGGAGAAGCAGACTCCCTGCCGAGCAGGGAGCCCGATGCGGGACTCGATCCAGGAACTCCAGGATCATGACCTGAGCCGAAGGCAGTCGCTTAACCAACTGAGCCACCCAGGCACCCACGATCCTTTTCTGTCATTTGGTTCTGTTGTTACTCTTCAGGCACCCCATGGCATCCATTTTTCTGAATGAAAATAAATGATACCACACAATAGGCAGTAGATAAAGAATAATAAATATATTTTATTTGCCACCTCTAAAAAAGGTCTTTGACTTCCCATCCATCCATCAGAAAATGACCCTGGGGCTCACCAGCAATATTCATGTGCACACCGCCCCCCCCCACACACACACGAGCACACGGAGGCTACAGGAGGGAAAAATCAGTTGTATTAAAAATACATGTTCGAGTGGCTGAGGATAGAGGCAAAGCTGTTTCCTTGCTTCCCCTCTCTTTCAACATTTTTATGACATACCCTGAAAGCCAAATGGCAAGCAGACATTTGAAAGGCTTGCCTGCCCCCGCCTCCAGCCCCCCTGCTTTTATTGAGCCATATTCTGTAAGTAACCCATTATGGTTTTCCATGTGGCTATCTGCGCTGTCACCTCTGGGAAAGGCCTGTGATGGTCCTGTGCAGCAATTTTAGGGAAGATGCCTTGGTGTGGGGCCAGAACCAAGCGAGGACAACCTTACAGGAGCCTGAGCCTGACTGAGCCCCTCCTCATATTTTGCATCCTGGGCACCTCTCCCTAGCCTCAGTCCTGCCTCGAGAGACATTTGGCCCTGGGCTTCCTCCGCCTCGATGCAAGTCCAAGGAGCAGCGGCATTGAGTTATTTTGTTATGTGTTTCTCTGGACTTCCGAAACTAACCTGATATTGCGTGCTTTATCTAGAGTCTGGGATCCAGGGTTTCTGAGAATAGAGGAGCCAGATCAATGTATTAATGCAAGCTAATAAGATAACTCGTTGCTGCTTTCTGGGCCACGCAATACTCAGTGGAGAACCAGAGGCTAAAAGGGCTCCACTCTCTCCCGGAATATCCTCTAACCAAACGAGCAGATGTCTGGTTTCCTCTGCGCTCTGGCGTGGCTCACCTTTTCATTGAGGCACCCACCTTTGAGAGCCAAGCTTCAGCAAGGCGCTATCTAGACGGGCCCTGCCTGGCCTGTGGATGCTGCCCACCCGGGGCTTGTAGAGCTGGTCGGCTCACAGCTCCTTTCAAAGACTCCCCCCGTTGACAACTTGGAGTTCTGTGAAAATATAACCCCTACAGGAAGGTGTAGGGATTTACGCTGTCGTCAATCATTTCCACCTAATGGGAAGAGTCTCCGGAGATGTTTTGATGGGAGGGACAGTAATGGGCAGGAAGTTGACTGCCCCTAGGAAAAGGAAAGTTGTAGAGGAGTCCTGAGGGAGGAGGCAAAAAACCACAGCTCCTTTGGCAGGTCCTCCACGACTGTTGCCCATTGAGAAGGTGCTTTAGGGGTACGAGTGAGGGTCCTGCCCTGGGACTCTGGTGGGGGTGGGGCTGGGGACCAGGGCCTCAAGCATGGAGATGGTACCTAAGTGTGGGAATCTCTTAGCTTCTCCTGCTGCGTGAGGCACCTTCCTAGGCAGAGGTTTCAGAGGTAATGCTACCCACTTCCCATCCCGCATAGTTCCTCTGTGCCAGGCGACTGTCTCAACCACAGCAACGTGGTGATTCCTTTCTTCCGACTTCAGAAAGTGCCCTGATGTTGGCATTGTCTATTTTGCTGTGGTCTAGGTTTCTGAGAAGAGGAGCCAGGTCAGCCTCTCGATATAAACATGAATAGACGAGTCAGGTTACTGAGCAAGCTCTAGGGCACTTGGCCATTCATGCCCTCTCCCCCAGGCCTCCGTCCTTGGGTGCCTTGGTGGGGCGCTGGGGTTCTGATTAGGACTAGGTGCGTGCGCGTGTGTCAGCTCCGAACACCTGAGGGTCCCTCCGACCGGCCGTCAGCGTCCACATCCCGGGGAGGCTGAGTGTTGCCTCCTTCCGCGTGCGCGCCCTGGGCCCGTGTCACCATCTACGCGTCCCTCTCTGCCCCATGTCGCCACCGGCAGGATGGCCGAGGGGACGAGGGGGTGTCGGCCAACGCCCGTGCGGGGCAACGCAGGCGGGGCGGGCGGCGGTGGGCGCGGAGCTCGGGGGAGGCGCCCCCTGCCCCCTCTGCCGGCCGCCCTCCGTCCGTCTAGATGTCAGCCGCGAGCTCCGAGCCAGCCCGAGCGAGCCAGAGAGGGAGCGGCGGCGGGCGGCGGGCGGCGGGCGGCAGGGGAGGGGAGGAGGCGAGGCGAGGAGGGAGGCAGGGAAGCAGGGAGGGCGGGAGGGAGGAGAGGAGGACCCAGAGAGCGCCAGGCAGCTGGAGTTTTTGCAGCGCTTGGCCGGGCTTCAATGCACAGCAGCGGCGAGCCGCGGCGGCAGCAGGCAGCCCGGGAGCTCCGGCGGCGGCCGAGCCAGCGGCGGCCCCGCTCCCTGCCCCCTGCAAACTTTGCGAGCAGCCCGCCCGGGGGGCCGGGGGCGCGCCCGGGAGGCCCGGCTCGGCCCGCGGCCGCGCTCTCCGCCGCCGCCGCCGCCGCAGCCCCGCGCCTCCCCGGGGAGCAGCCGGCGGCTCCCGCGGCCCCCCAGCCCCGGGCCCTCGGCACTGCCCGGCCAGTCCCCCGGCAGGGGCGGGGGCGGGGGCGGGGGCAGCAGCGGCGCGGCCGGCCGCGGGCTGCCGGGGGGCGGCCGCGGCTGCCCAGGGAGGCGCGCAGAGGCGCCGAGAGCGCTCCCCGGCGGGTCCCCAGCGCACTCGCCGCGCCCGGGCAGCGGCCCGACCGGGCGAGCATGGGCGGCGCGGAGTGACGCCGCCGTGCCCGCTTGGCATCAAGGACATTCAGCCCGCGGGGGTGGGGACGAAGGGGGGCAGCCCCCGAGAGCCGCTGCCGCCGCCACGACCGCTCGGGACCCGGGCTAGGTGGAGCAGAGGGGTGCTTGGAATCGATCCACGTTTTCCGACCTTTTTGTTGGACATTCCGCCCGCCTTGGACGCCGCGAGAGGAGCTGTCAAGCCCCGCAGGCTGTGATCTCGCCCTCCGTTTGCCTGGCCTCCTCCCGGCTCCCGGTGCCTCGGTGGAGTATTTGCGTTCGGGGCTGGGGCTGGAGGAGGCAGCCACACGCGCGCACACGCACACGCTCAGAGGAGGACGAGAGGCAGCGGCACAGGCACCATCTGCAGTGTCAATGCGGCGCTCGGGCTGAAGGAGGCAAAAGCGGCGCTTCCAGGTAAGGAGCCGGCGGGCGGGCGGGCGGGCGAGGGCAGGGCGGGCGGAGATGCCCGGCTCGGGCCGGGAGTCCTCGGCTGCCCTGGAGCCAGTCTGCTGCACGCACGCACACACACTCAGGTGCACACACACGAACACACGCCGGCACACGCCGCGCACACGCACCTGCCCATGTCCCACCTGGACACCCGCGTAGGTGCGGCGCGGCGGGAGTAGGCATTGCCCTTGTTCTTTCTCCTCCGCCGATCCCGACTCAGACTTCTCATACCCAGGACTTTCAGGGTGGGATTTGATGTATTACCGCCTCTCCCTCCCACCGCGGGAGGCTGAGGGAGCCGATTTTTCAGTTCCCGGTCCCTGGTATTTCTAGCTGGTTTTCAAAACGGGAGAAGTAATGAGAGCTTTGGGGGGAGACCCACCCAGTGTCATCTCTGCTCCGGGGCCTTTGGACACCCTGGGGTTTTTACGGGCGGCAGACCCACAGATACTCGGACAGATATTCGGAGAGCGTGGTGGCCCAGCGTGCAGGGAGGAGGCCACGGAGGCAGATGGGGCTGCAGTTCTGTAGGGCGGTGCATAGGGAACAGACACTGCGTTTCCCCAGTAAGAGGCAGCACGGAAGCCTTTCTGAAGCGTGGCACTGCTTCCCCGCGAATCGCCGGGATTTCAGGCAGCAAGGGGCTTCAGCATAGCATTGGGGGTGCTGCTGGCCTAAGGTGGGTAAATGGGGGTCAGATCCTCCCCGTAAGAGGTCTGACCCCTTCACATCTGCAGTGTCTCTGCCACAGCCAACCCACAGGGCTTAGGGACACAGGACTTAGGTCTCCCCTTCACCTCTGTCCCCTTCCCTCTACACTGTATGGGAAAGCATGGGGTTGCTTCGCCCCTGCCTCTGGCTAACACCTGTCACATGCCTTTGGAGGTGTGTGTCTGAGAAATCCAACGAGAAGGGGTAGGAGGAGGGTGTAGTGCTGGAAGGGAGGAGGGTCCCCCCCCCTCTCGTGTCCACCTCAGCAGTGCCGCCACCCCCCCACCCCCATAAGGAGACCAGGCATTCTTGGGTTTTCCAGTGTTTCCCCAGAGCCAGGCTGCTCCTGACATTGTAGAGTCACTCTCCAGAAGCCTGGGGTTCACGGTTCTATTTCCCTAAAGCGTTCCCTTTCCTTTCTGCCCAGCTGAGATTTCACAGGCTGCTCATTTTCAAACTTTTTCTGGAGGAGGTAGGACGTAGGAGGTGGCTGGGACTCCAAAAGGGCTTTCTCGCAGTTTCCATTTGAGGGTCAAAGAGCAATTTATTCGGGCTCAGTTGTTGTAGGGAGAAGAACGTGAGATCCAAGTAAAACATTAATTTGGAGTTGCACGTAAATAGATCAGGGTCCTGTCTTTTTCTCTTGCTGTCCCTTTTGTGGTAGCTTGTTGGGCAACCTGGCAAGAAATGGGATGAACTTGTACCCTTTATGCGAGATCATGTGTTCAGAGTGTCCTACAAACTCACCAGTGGGAAAAAGATGTTGGGAGTCTTCCAGAACATGAGGGGAAAGGAGTCAACATTCTTTTGAACAAGGGGCCTCAGTGTTGGGCACAGGATTTGGTTGATTCTGTAAATCCTGAGGATGGGTGCTGAAATAAAGGGCTCGCTCCACACCCCCATCTCTGCTCTTTTCAGACTTTGCCCGCTCCTGCAAAGGTCTCAGCTAGGCTGGGGAGGAGAGGAGCAGCCTCCCCTGGGAGGAGACTGTATTCCTGCTGTGTGCTGCGTGAACTGCCCTTTGATTGATTGGAAAGGGTAGATGGAATAAAACAGAGCTCTCACAATGGGGAGAACCCAGGAGGGGGAAGACACATCATTTTCTTTTTAAGAATGGCGCGTGTGTACACACATCCAGATGTACGCGTGCCTTCTCAAAGAGCCTGGCTCAGCGTGATCGGCTGGTCCAATGTGGGACAGCGGGACCCACCTCGGTCTTCCCGGCTGTGGAAGAACTGGAACATTTCCACGCGCATGCCCTATGAGTGCGTGGACGGGGAGGTCCCGCGGATGCATAGAGGAGCACGTGGTTTTCAAAAGAAATAGTGAGCGCTGGCAACAGTGGGTGGCTCCCAGGTAAACAGTCTCTCTCGGGACCTTGAAGGGGCAAAAGGATGGCGTACAGAGCTTCCTGGAATGCCTGTCTGTCTTCCACACAGACCTCTCTGCTCCCTTCCCTGCTTCCCTCTCTATCTTGTAGCCTGAGGATCCATCATTTTAATGCAAAGCCAGTAGTCATGATGCTAGTTATAAGCTAAACATTTTTAAACATGGGTTCAAAAAATCCCCACACTTTCTGTGCTTAGCATTAGGTACCAATTTGGTTTCTAGGGCAAAGCGGGCATTAATTAACATCTGTGTAAGGCTGGGTGTGCATCATCTAATTTTTTTCCTGGCTCTTGCTGAGCCCTGGAGCATGTCTGGTTGTCACACTCTCTCTCTACCACCCCTCTATGGCCTTCCTTTTAAGTTCTCTAGGGTCTTCACACGCGGAAGGGAGTCGTCCTAGAAAAGCCCCAACCTCGAGCTCTTCTTTTCAGCAGCCCCTTGTGGCTGCGAGGCTGTGCTCTCGGGGTTCTCCCTGGTGAGCCTGGGCTGCCCACGAGCTCTGTTCCTTCTGGCCCAATCTGGTACTCACTTGCGGGCTCGCCTCTGTCCTCCCCAGACTTCCCCCTGGATGCCCACTGATGCCTGCACACATTTCCAGAGGCATCTGAGGCCACCAACTTGTTTCCTTTCTCCTGGGCCCCTCTCCAAGGCTGCTGCTACCGCTCCCTGCAGACAGGGAGCTCTGCAAGGCAGAGTCTGCCTACACTCGGCCTCCCGATCGATCCTCGTAATCACAACAAGGGCTGCTGGGAATCGAGTGGGGGCTTTCTAGGGAGGCAGCCGTCCAGAAGTGGGGAGAGGGCTGAGGGGGCGGGGTGATTAACGGCTCTTAGCTCCTAGTTATCACCAGGCTTTGATGCAAAGAAACTGCCGCCAATCTCTCCCCTCTGAGCCAGCTAGGGGGCATTTCTTAGCTGCTTCTCCCCATCCTCACTAGGAGAAGGCACTACGCAGACAATGCCACCTCAGAGACCTGTTGGAGTGGCTCCGTGATGGGCGGGGTGATCCACGCTGTGATGAGTCTGCAAGGCAGATGTGCTGTTCTCTCCTAGGGTCCCCTCTCCTCTCCTCGTTTGTGTGCAGCGCCGGCAATGTGAATGAAGCCGGTTCAGACCCCGGGGCGAGAACAGGGTTCATTTCCTTCCCCTTGACACCCCCTTCCTGCTTCCCCTGTGCGCCCCCTTCCCCCCACCCTGCAACCTGCTAATTCACCTCTTAGCTTTATGTGCACATCCGACAGCCCATTCGCCCTCAAATTTGTGGCACTCCAAGAAATCAATATAACATGAATTTAACGACAGCTGGATGATTAAGTGTTATTTATATTTAAGAGCGGCATTTTAAAAAGACGTCGCGCTAATAAATCAAATGGCTGTTTGGGAGATGCACATGATTAGGGTAATTGCCCCATAGGCTCCATTGAGCAATGCCTGGCCTATGCAGAGCCCCGCAGACACTACCTCTTTGGAACCTGGCAGCCCCTCTGCTCTGACTCTGACCTCCCACCTGATCCCCTCCATCCGGACTTACTCACTCTTGTCGCACTCCTCACTGCCCAGGCTATGGCATTCCAGTTGTGGCAGGAAGGTGGAGTCAGCAGGGACACTGAACGGGGCTCTGCTGCTAAGTGGTAGGAGATGGGTCTTAAAAGCGAAAGCACACGGGAGGTCCTAATTCCCAGAGCAGAGGCCTTGTTCCAGAAGGAGGAGGCTACTTCTCTGCTTGATATGAAGCAGCTTGGGAGAAAAGCTTCCTCAGTCCCTGCGAAAGTCTGTGCCAGCCCCCAGACCCCTGTGCATATGGTCATGTGTCATCAGCCAACCCAGGGAAGAGGCTGTGTGGACATTAGTATTTGCCCTGGTGAAAGTAGCAGAATGGAAAGGAATAATAATCAGCGATGATGGTGGTGGCTAATATTTATTCTGCACTGACTTGGAGGAGCCATCATTTAAGTGGTTTATGCAGGTTGGCCCATGTTGTCCACGTAACCACCCAGAGAGGCAGTTACTGAATTATTCCCATTTCCTGCATGAGCAAACTGAAGTGCCCAAGGTGAAAGACTTTGTCTAGGATCGTACAGTTGGTGGGTGGTGGAGCCACATCTCAACCCTAAGCAGACTGACCTCCCTCCTTATCACTGTGCTGTCTGCCTCCTTGGGAGATCTGTGAGGAGTGTGTTGCCCCCCCCGGGGACATTTGTGGGAGAGTATGCTGAGGAAGTACAGAATATGTGGTTTCTCCCTGGGACACATCTATGACCCCAGGTGAATCTCTTTTTTCTTTGACTCTCGATTTCCCCATTCAGCAAGGGGGCCTGCCTTATCTTTGACTGTTGGTGAATTGTGAGATTGCATGGATCATTCTAGCAGAGTGCTCAGTTCCTGAGGGTGACTCTTGCCTCTTTGGGCAACTCCCATCTCCCCCTGGGGAAAACTAAGGAGGAAGGAATGAGTGCCGACCTCATCTGTGCTTTTGACTCTATGAGGCTCTGAGTCTTGTGCTGGTGGGTTTCTAGTTCTCTCTAGTAACAGCTTGAGATTTGCTGGTGCTGTGGAAATACCACTCTCTCATCGAATCCTTTAAACCATCCAGCAAGGGGGGACTGTCTATTCTCATTTTGATTGTGTAGGGACTGAGGCAGGATGCCCAAGGATCCAGGACACTACATGGCGGATGGTCTCTTCACTCTTGGGAAAGAATGCCCACAGCAGGGACTTGCTGGTTCATTCGTTCATTAGCCAGCCAGAGAATCTTCCAAAGCCAGGGAAGGAAACTTTGCCTGTGGGCGTCATGCTACACTGGGCGCCTGGGCCATATAATAGTGGGAGCAGAGATTCTCTGGAGGTTGGTGCCAATGGCTGCGT